ACACCCAGCTTATTCAACTGAGCGAGCAGACTTGTGGCTAGTGTCAACCTTGGCCGCCCACGGGGTGCTTTTTTGCCCTTGTCCAAAGAGCCGCTCATGGCTACTTAGGGTGGCGTGTCCGTGTCCGTCTGTAGCACATGACTGGTCATTCGTAGTCGCCTACATGCAGCTGTGTCATGTATTACTACAAGAACTCAACCAAGTCCTCAGCAGTCATGGAGTAGCGGCAGGTTAGGCAAGTAGGGCTGGGGGCAGAACTGATCCACTCCTTGATACAGTGGAAGTGAAATTCATGACCACACTCCAACTTGGATAGAGGACGATCCAGGGCATCCTGACAAATCACACAACTGGACTCATGACTTATTGCTGACGAGTCTACCTTAGTAGGCACTACATTGATGTACTGCAGCTCCATGGGGTGTATTGCCTGGTCTTGATGGTGGTCACCGTAATACACCCCGTTGAGGTACCACTGATAGACACCCTCCTCCTCCTGAGAGATGAAAGCAGGTCCATCTTCCCTATGCCGAAGGTTGTATCGGTACCACTCCCGTACACGATTGTTACCTTCCCTGTGTATAACCGCTGGCGCATTCTCCCTGTGGAGCCTTCCTTGGTGATACCACCGTAGAATACAGCATGTGGCGTCACAATAACTGGCTGCAGGACCGCCGGCTCTAGGCGCCGTTGAGGTAGTACTCGATGCTACCCCGTCCTATCCAAGCCCGTTCATTAACGCGATGAAGGCGACCTTCATAGCACCAGGCGGACACTCCCCTACTATCAACAAGAGCTGGTCCGTCCTCCCGATGGAGTCTACCATCGACGTGCCAAATTTCTTGCTGCGCGTTTTGATCTGCCACCTCCACAACAGTTCTTATTGGCGTCCGCCTTTCTATTAGTAAAGGACCCGTGGTGAGAGACCACGACCGGTCGTCCACGTCTACACCGAATGTATCAGCCATATCTATTTACTGAGAATAATGTAACAACTCCTCCACAAACGCTTCTACAACTGACGTCTTCTTCATCCTGGTTTTTTCCTCTTGGTGGTTTTGGATAAGAGTTGAAAAGTCCAAAAGGTCAACTGATGACCTTTGCGTTACTTGGTATGATTGGGTTTTAGCGGATGATGTCGGTATGCAGCTGGGGAACGAATTCGACAGGAAGAAGGTAAAGGTCTTGCTTTGCGGTTCACACCTTCACTTCAGTATCATTACAGTCCAAATGGCTTTCACTTGTCACTGTAGCGTTCGAATGTCAGGGGTAATACCCCTATTCCAGCACCTGAGGCGGTGCGTCAAGCGCCGCCTCTTTCTCATCATATATTGTGACAAATGGTAAGTGTGCAGTGCTCCTAGCTCTCTCCCCCAACAAAAGAGCTCTATGACACTGTGCTTTCTGCGGTTTCTTTCGTTTTTACAGTGGAGAAAGGCTGGTGGGAGGCCCAGCCGTGGCCGCACACCTGGCGGGTGCGGCCCATCTAACCCGTTACTGGGAGGGCCGGCAGGTCGGGCTGCTGTTGCAGTCCGACTACCGGGACGCCGTGGAGCGTATTAGGACCCTGTAAGTAAGCACTGCTCTGTCTACATGTATACTTATCCCCCTCGTTATAGCGATACTTACTTGTTTCGTATCCTCTTGTCTTTAATACCCTGCTTCCGTATTCGTGACACTAATAGTGTTTGTGTGCGCTCATGCTTGGTTTTACAGATGATGATGATGTATGAAGGTCTGGACCTGCCGTCTTCGGGATGTGCCATTTGTTTCAAAATTATTTGTAAGTACTTGTAACAGGCGTAGTGTAGTAACTGTGTGTGTAGTGTAGTAACAGTGCAGTCGTAATGTGTTTTGTGATGGTCCTGTGCAGTCGTAATGTGTTGGGCTACTGAAGTACACTGCATGAAGGGGTATGTGTGGGTGCTTCGACACATTCTCGTGCTTCCTAAACCCTAGATATGTGTATAGCACTATAACCTAGATGTGTGTGTGTGTGTGTGTGTGTGTGTGTGCCCGCGCATGCATGCGTGTGCGTGCATTGTGTTCTCTTCTACAGACTCATCCAAGTCCATTTAAATAAAAGTGCATTATAGTAAACAGTATTGTGTTTTGTTACAGTGAATATGTGAGGAATGGTGGATATGCCTTAGTGTGACTGGATACGTGCGGGTTGTGACTCTTTGCTGGTCACTCTGGATTCTCCAGTATAGATTCGGTGCAGTGCAGAGGGGATTTGCGGTGCGTAGCAACACTGCTTCACTGTGACACCCCTTCAATAATTGTTTTGATGCATGATACTCCGGGCGTAGCCGGTTGATTCTTACTGTATCCCGATCAAAATAGAAATATGCATCTAATGCACCTGCATGGATAGTAGGCATTTCCCAAATCGGCCGGCCGAAAAATTCGCCGAAGAAAGTGGTTTTGAAGAAATCACCTATCTTTTCGCCGAATTTTCAAATTTCGCTTGTTGAATTCGCCGAAAACCGATGTTTCAGTGCTTCAACAGAGTGTGTGTAAATGTACATGACGTAATGGGAACGGTGACTTCAAGTACTACGTTGAGCCGAGTTCTGATCTTGGGGCTCATAATATGGCCGAATTTGAACATTCTCTTAACCGATCGAAAAGCCGATTAGGCATGCTCTGCATGGGCAACTTGTCAATCAGTGCACATCTACGATGTGCAAATAAAACGAATGCACGGAACGTGAACTTGTTTGCTGCACATCTACGAAGTGCGAATCAGGGAGTAGTATAATGACACGTGTACTAGTACACCTTGTGTTGCACTGCGTCTTTTCCACACGCATAGGACCACTGAAGGTCACACGCTCCGCGTGCGTATGCACGCATGCGCAATATGTCATTCACTGCATGCAATGCACATCTACGATGTGCAAATCAGGGGATAGTACGTATTTTACTACTCCCCGGTGCGAATGCACCGAACGTGCACAAGTGCACGTTCGCCATCTATGGCGAAAAGAACCTTAAGAATGACATTTATGGCATGCCAGGGGTCAAAGGTCAAACTCTGGGGGATCCCGGGGCCAGACCCAGCACGACCGACACAGTGTGCCTTATTTGGACCAAAGGTCAAAGGTCAAAAAGTGTGCCAGAACCTGCCCCGCACTTACTACTGATGCGTCGGCAGCGAAGCCACGGATGTCGGTCTTCGATAAATATATTGTCGATGTTTATTAAACATATTGACAGCACTTCAGTATCTCCCAGTAAACAAAGTCACAGTCACCACTTCCGCTGCATAGCTCGCTGAGCATCCCATTGCTTTTTAAGTTGCTAATCCCTTCCCACTTTGTGTACGTGCTCTTCATTTTCTTTTTTCTCTTCTTCCGTGGTTGGTCTCACCCTCTCCTCAATTCAATTGGCTGTCTTGACATGCCACGAGGTGCAGAAATAAATAAATAAATAAAAATAAATATTGAAAAGGAAACATCGAGGTGATTTTAGGTGATCCATGCTCTAGCTGCTACGCTAGTCTTCACGCTTATGCTTGACATCCCCAGCACAGTCACCATGGTCACCGGGAGCAGAACATTTTCCTTTTCGTCGCGGCGAATTCGAGAAGAAATTATATGGAAGTAGATGATTTGGACAGTTATGAACAATCCATCTCTTGGATGCCTTGTAGCAGCTTCTCGAACAAGAAAGAGCTTGACGATATTGTCAGAGGTGTTCACTGTCGCGCACTCTGATGGCCACCATCGAGGGTCCCGGTCGCCATTGTGTACCCTTGTTGCCATTGTTACCTTCCAAACCATTGATCCGTTCACGATTTTGAGCGACATTCCACATATTATACAGCCGCCGAGCTGCCATTCCCTACACGTTGTAGACTGCTACACTGTTGGCCATATAATACCATGGTATTCAGTACCCACGAACTTTGCACAGCCGATAAGCGAAATCTTCTGTTTTTTTCTGTTCTCTTTCTGTAGTACCCGATCTCCCTCTGATGTACCGCTGACTCTACGCTGAAGATCTAAGTATTTTCTATGCCCGTTTGAATTTGCGAATAAAAACAAATACAAAAAAATGCAGGCATGTAACTCATGTTAACCAATATTTTGGACAAAATGTCTTCTTTCTTATCCTGAAGTCTCGTAACTTCAGCAAATAAGTTCCCTGAATCAATCGATAAGTATTATCGGGCGTTGCTGGTGTAATGGTTAGCATAGTTGCCTTCCAAGCAGTTGATCCGGGTTCGATTCCCGGGCGACGCAAAGCTTTTTCAACTTTTAAAATTGTCTTGAGACTTTTCCATGATTTTTATCAATTTGCGGGAGGCCGCACGGTATTTTTTATGGCTGAGCTAATTGGCTTGAAGAATGTGTGAACACGTATGTACATGTGCATGTACCGGTACATGCTCTCATACTGCTACTAGTGGCTTCTGCTGGCTTTTCATACCCCCCCCCCCCCCCCCCCACTAGGCCTTGACGGATTATGCTAATATTTTCGTGAAATTATGCGTTTCGCATTGCTGAAAAAATTGCAGAATTATGCTATTTTTATGCTAAAAGTTATCAAATTATGCCGCATTATGCTCACATACATGTATGCTGCTAATGTATAATGGTTCTGTGAAAAATAACAGGGGAATGTTTTGTAGAGGGCGTCGCACTGTAGCAGCAAAAGTTCAACGGGGTCAACGCACCGTCCGACCTAGCTACGACCGTCACTGATTGTAGTGGACTGGACATGTGATTGTTATCAAGGGAGTCGTAAACCTACGACTTCCTGGTGCATCTACTTGTACTTGTACCTGTACTTGTAGAACATGTACAACTGCATGGAATTTGATGCGAACAGGCGGATTATTCCAATTTATGCGATTCGTATGCAATTTGCCTCGAATTATGCGATTATTCGATTTTGGTAGGAATCATGCGAAATATTATGCTAGCATAATCCGTCAAGGCCTACCCCCACACACACACACACCACAACGCAAGTCCCCAGTGAATCCAGTTCTTTACCATGTGTAGGCCACACAGTAAAAAAAAAGTAGGGGCTACTAAATTACTCAATGATCCGAAATGGGATTACATTGCACGCACTGGTAAATGTCCCACTACCCTCTGGAGCTCCGCAGTCTGTGTAAAAGTGAAATTGCCAGTACTGCGCGAGGGGAAGCAATGTGATCATCATTTTGCGAGAACTGTGGCAATACGCCCAGCGAGAAGGCAGATTTTGCCTGTGCTTATGGTGAAGTAAAATAAAGCTAAACAAACAATGTGCTAATAGTTTGCCTAGTGTGTACCATTACGAAAAAAAGAAAGGAAGAACGGTGCATGATGGTACAGAGTAGGCATCTCCCAAATCGGCCCGATTTCTTCGCCTATTTAAATCGGCTTTTCGAGCGGGCAAAGAGAATGCCCAAATTCGGCCATAAATATTATCAGCCCCAAAGTCAGAATTCGGCTCAAAACAGTACTTGAAATCACCGCTCGCAGTACACAAGTACATTTACATGCAAGCTGCAGAGGCATAAAACATCGATTTTCGTCGAATTCAGTGCCAAGTTTGTAAATTCGTGGCAATTATCGGCGATTTCTTGACAGCCATTGAATTCGGCGTCTTTTCCTGCTGACAGATTTCGGAACTGCCTAAAGTTGCAGTCCCCTTTCGCTGCCGCTGTACAATGTATACTGGTTACAGAAATCTGGATGCTGTTGAGGCACCAAACCATCGATTTTCGGCGAATTCAGTGCGTACATGTAAATTGTATATTCGGCGAAAAGATCGGTGACTTCTTCAAAACCACTGTTTTCGGCAAAATTTTGGCCGGCCGATTTGGAAAAGGCCTATTTAATACAGAGTGAGGGGTATCCACTAGAAAACAAAACAAGACAAGCTTCAAAGTTCAAATGGCTGTACTCGGTCCGTCGATTTTCATGTTGATGTGTTGAATGTTGTCTTTGGGGAGTATGCCTCACCGCACATCCAATGTGCTGTACACCAGGTACCAGCTGTGTTGGTCGCATGAGTTTGGGCAATCACAAGACAACGGATAATTCTGAGGAGCACAGTCACCAGGGCTAGATTTATCTGGGTGAATTCGTATACCGGCATTGGTGCTAAAAGGTTGGAGGCGGTAGGTGGAAAGATCAAGGCCGGCAAAGTATGTGAGCAAGTAGCAAGAAACTCAGAATTGCAACCATCTCTTTTTTTAAACTTCTTTGTACCGTTTTTGTGTGTGATCAGTTATAGGTGCGGAGGTCACGTATGGAGGACTGTGTGTGCTGCAGCTGACAAGTGATAGAACATCGCCACACTGGCTTTCTTTCTACTACAGTATTACGATTGTCCATGTCTGTCAAGCACGGCATGAATGGTAGGTAGTCCTACGAAGGAAAAGCCTCTCCATCTTCTGTTCTCTATACAGGTATCGGTGCAGTCACAGTCTGTCCATGCACAATCTCTCTTACTGTAGGCCCACAACAGGGACACGGCAGCAGTGCAGATATCTGAACAGTCACTCTGGGTTTCGCTTGGTGCTGGTAGCATACTGGAGCGGCGAATCACCAAACTTGGGCTAAACACTCTTCATGCAGTGGTCCATAACATTGGTACCTGCCGGCTCCTCCTGTACGTCACCATTGGGTTGTTGTTGTTGTTGTTGTTGTTGTTGTTGTTGTTGTTGTTGTTGTTGTTGTTGTTGTTGTTGTTGTTGCTGTTGTTGTTGTTGTTGTTGTTGTTGTTGCTGTTGTTGTTGTTGTTGTTGTTGTTGTTGTTGTTGTTGTTGTTGTTGTTGTTGTTGTTGTTGTTGTTGTTGTTGTTGTTGTTGTTGTTGTTGTTGTTGTTGTTGTTGTTGTTGTTGTTGTTGTTGTTGTTGTTGTTGTTGTTGTTGTTGTTGTTGTTGTTGTTGTTGTTGTTGTTGTTGTTGTTGTTGTTGTTGTTGGGCAGGCTGCATGCCTTGTGTGGCTAGAGAATAGGTGTGTGCGTTGGCATATTCCTGGCATGTATGGCTGACGCAGGATGATATTGGCTGCGATCTACATGTTCCATCGCTGCACGGGTGAATCACAGCGGTAGGTGCGCTCTTCACACGGGTAACCCTGTGAGGCAAGCTTGGCAGAGTTGACGCCTTGTGCCGTGCTGAGCCGTGTCGCACTAGCGGTAGAGGTTGAGACGCAGCGATGTTATCGGCAGGTAGAGCATACGCCATGCTTGGCATTGCATGATGATCAGAACAGCATCCCACACTGCTACTGATGTGTGGACAACTGGGGACGCTGGGAAGACTTGCTCTGGCTGAGCGAGTCGACAGGAAAGGATGGGCATTGGGGTCCTCGTACTCTCCGTGAAGCTCGCTATTCTGATTGTGACTGGTGGACGAGCTCTTCCGGAATGCCGATTTGAACGCACGGGTTCTCGACTCGACGCCATCTTCTTGCTGGCATGGCAACGCATTGTCACGTGATCTTCTCCAGAGAAAGAGCACTGCCACTGCCAACATCAGCACGAGTACGGACAGCGAGATCACCATGGAAACCAGGACTGTAGAGCGTGGACTACTGCCGTCTGGTCGGCTGGCCGAGACAGTGCCAGTGAGCGACGCAACACCCGTTGTCCTGTTTGTGACACTGTGCCCATTATTGTTAGTGTTGGGCATGGTGGGGAGGATTTCGGTGCTGCTCGCGCCTGCCAGTGTATCGTTTGAAATTTGACCTGCACAGAGTTCAGGAAGACAAAGGAATTCAATAGATTATTTTTTGGAAGAAACAAATCAGCACACGAAGCACAGAAGCCAAAATTATTGTTTCGGATGTATGGACATATTTTCTGCAGTGTTAATCACCATTGTACATGTATTCGACTTGAAAAGTAATGGTACGGAAGGGCTTAGGCCCAGTCGAAACAAAAGGATCCAGCTTCACATTGGTGAAGCGTAGTCAACATTCTAGCAGGCACTTACTGCCTATAAAACAGGCAAGAAACATACCAAGCAAGTACCAAATTCTGCCAATTGTTTTAAGTTATCCGCCAAGGGCTATTGACCAGCTCTGTCCTCGCCCCTGTGCTATACTTTGTTTCCATGGTCACCATCCTAGCTGACAACCATTTCAGCTAGGGACCGGCGGATTCTGCTCGAAAAGGTGGCAGATTCTGCTCGAAAAGCAGTGAAATTCGCGAAACCATACAAACCTTATGCCGGGCAATTCCTCGAATTCTGCTCCATTTCTTTATCCACATACCAAACATGCATGAAACATACCAGCAAAAGTACCGAATTGTGCCAATTTTTTCTGCCGGCAGAATCCTAGCTGACAACCATGTCAGCTAGGATTACAGAAAAGAAGACTCACCCTGGCATGATCTGCCATTGACTTCGAACCCAGCAGCGGACTCCGACATCGATAATGTGTCTAACGGCAGCGTGGTGTGTGTGTGAACACGGATGGATCATATCGATGTCTGTGCGCTGCTGGGTTCGATGTCAAAGGCAGATTATGCCAGGGTGAGTCCTCTCTTTCAGTAATTTGGAAAATGGGATACTTCCAGCCAATGAAGCTCAGGGTGGAAAGGATGAGTCAAGTCCAGTTAAATATTGTGCCAAGAGCAGACCACACCCTAGCGTATGTATGGCTATGCACAGCTAGCAGGCATCTCACCGGTATAGTATGAGTCACAGTATAGTCCAGTATAACCTGTGACGCAGTCGCACACGTACAGACCAGGTGTGTTGACACAGTATCCTCCAGGAGCACATCGATGTGTACCACGCGAACATTCATCCACGTCTGTACGGGAGTTGTCATTGGAAGAAAAAAACAAAGTTATACATCCTGCATGCATATCATGTTCAAAATGCCTTTCCTGTAACAATAGGAACGCGTCTTCAACGTAGCACGTGAAGCAATGGCAAGTATTCAAGATGTACTTGATTCAACTTTTCCACCTAGGCTTCATTTGATGGAGTGAAGAAGTATCCAATTTTCCAAATTACAGAAAAAGACTCGACTCACCCTGGCATGATCTGCTGTTGACCTCGAAGCCAGCAGCGCACAGACATCGATATGATCCATCCGTGTTCGCGCATACCACACTACCGTTGGACAAACCGTCCGCGTTGCACACATCCGGCACGTGTCTGCATTCATCTTCGTCTGACAACATCACAGTCATACAATTCAAGTACACATGACTTGTATCTATTATTCCACAGTACGGTCCGTGAGGTGCCGAAGATTAACCATGCTGGAATTGTGAAAACACATTGAACTGGTTACTTGACTGTGACCAAAAGTTTTCTTCGCCTCAGCTTGTAGTCTTTTAGTCAATGCCATACAGTCTAAGCAAGGATATTCATTGCACAGGACTGCCGGGTGCCGAAGAAGAGCCAGGCTGGAATTATAAAGGCACTTTCTAAAAATTAATGAGGATGTAAGGTAAGGGTCACACACAGGCGCATGCAGGTGGACAACGTTCACCCTTGGGAGGATTGGGGTTGAGCTTTATGTACCAGTGTAAAAAGCAGTATTCTTCGTCATTTTGTGAGAGCTTGGACAATCCACTTGTCCAGGCAAGAAGGCGGCAGCAATGCCGGTTCATTCTGGTGAAGTAAAATAAAAAAAATACCAACCCCAACCACTTGAGTATAGCGAAAAGAAATGAGTTGTTTGACGTGGAGTGATTACCTTGGCATATTCCATGGTCTCGGGTATAGCCTCTCTTACAGGTACACTCGTATGATCCAAACACGTTCTTGCAGTGCTGTGTGTGACTACCGCCGCTGGCTGTTGAGTAACCATGGTAACATGGAGGATTGTACGTATCACTGCACTCATTCCAATCTGTAAGGACAACATTATCAGCAGAGTAAAATGTGCTCTTCTGCGATAATGTGTACATTGTTCACATTGCATTACATTGCCGTCCTTTTGACTGTCAACATAAATTAATTATTCGACGTCCTGACACCTAGCTTCAACACATCTCCGTAGCGCTAACCAACAGCCTTTCAACTCGGAAGCAACTCGAATGTCTCAGTACCCTGTCAGTTTTGTGCCGTTGATCTCCTTCAAGCCGTCGGTGCCCAGGTGGAACAATGATGTAAGGCTAAACACGGTAAATGGCCTACGTCCATGAATCATAGTTTTACACTCAGGATTCTATTCTTTGTCGTTCTTTTTCACTATGTTGGAGAAAAGAAGGTGAAGTGTCTCCTATTTTCGTTCACATAGTGCATTTCGTACTTTTTTTACTAAAGTTCACGTTCCCAACTTTTAAAATGATAAAAATTGACCAGGCGAGTGAATGTTTTACATACATGAGACTGACGGTGCAGACTTTCCATCTTACCTTCAGCTGACAAGGAAACATATGGCTGACCAGCAGCATTGACCAGGATAATGCAGGGGGAGAGAACGCCGCCAGGATGCAATCGTTGCATGGCACTAAACGTGACGGTACTTCCAGATATATCTGATATGGCTACGAACTTCAATACCTTCTGACCGTTGGGATCTGCATCGCTCTTCAGTGAGAACGGAATATTCTGGCTGTTGCTTCTGCCGCTCGACTGCACAGAGGAATACAGCACTTGGTAGAAGCATGATCCGTTCGATGTGAAGCTGATGCTGTCAAACGTCATAAGACAACCAGGCGGGAAGTCAAAGTCTACGCTGGAACCGGTAGCATTCGCACTGATGACGTCCCGTGGCGAAGACTGCCCCGTCCCGGAGGAGAACACATATCGGCTCGTCTGAGTTCTCCGATCAAAGCTGGTGGTAAAGTTAGTGTGACCTGCTGGAAGACATCTATTTCCACTGGTGTGTTGCATACACAGGATGGCCAATATCAAACCAATGTATATTGCTGTTTGTACATGTAGTTTGATTGTGAACATCTTCATTGCTGCAACGTAAACACGAACGCAGGCCGATCTTGCGCAGAAGGGCACTAGCCTTCAGAACATGATGTAGGATGTTGAACCAACTCAGTGTTTACAAAGTTTTCTTATCCTTTTCTGAGCCTAAATGTTGCATTGTCGTGGACTGGCCTTACCTCACAAGGGCTTCACAACTGCAGTGCGTGCCTAGCTCACATGATGGAACACATAGGCAAATTAATAATGACAGCAAACTAACACGTCAGCCACCCTGTTCTCCGTCGGAGCGTGCACTAGTGGGCAGCAGACTCGCAAAGGGAAGAATTGAGGCACGGTGGTGGCCCACAGTCATTCAACTACTGAACTAGTACATGTAGACGCCATCTACTAGCCTTCTAGAAGATTTTCCAGCCTGGAACTCGGAGTGATGAAGCCTAGCAAGTCGTAACAAACGGTATAGGATGCACATAACATGTAGCCGTACTAGACTCACGTGGTCTACTATTATTACATGGATGTAGCTGCATAGGTCTGTTGCAGTGTTGGGTGTGTCTGTCGGAAGCAGACTACATCCACATGTAGAAACGTTAGCCTCTTCGTCTGCTAAGCAAATGTGCCACGCAACTGTCCAGCCCTTCTGAGCACACAAGTAAGTTAGTTGTAGACGGTTTGCGTTACACAGAGCGTCTCGGATCACAACTCAAATCTCGCATATCTCCGGGCAGGTTAGACTCTCAAATGACCGATACGCTGGGCAGCCACCGTCTCACTGCAGCATTGGAGGCTGACTACTGATACTAATCAGCGTGTGCGCATGGGCCCCTTCTAATGTATAGGTAGAATATAATTATTGTAGTGGTCATGTAGTGTACAATGTACAGAGAGAAGATTGTGCCACAATCATGCCCACTGGCACAGTGGCAATGTATCTTGCCAATGTCAAACTGCATAATCCTTGCTTGTCGCTAGGGAGTAGTAAAATACGTACTTGTATCAAATATATACTCTGTACATGTACTAGGGAACAAAACCCGAGTGAGTACCCCCCCCCCCCCCCTAAAATGTTGACCTACGTTCAGAATGCACGTTATGAGTCCACCATGAATGACATGCACCAGCCATCCTACACATGCATTGTGCATGCGGCCGTGCACCCCTCGAGAAGGGGGACCAGCCACATGTGCATCCCTGAGCAGTATCTAGACCACCCGATTGGGCCTTCCGACTCCATTGGCGACTTCTTGTGAACAGTTAGCCAAGAAAGGAAACAATGGGAAATTGACCGAAACCAGGAGTCAGAATTCGAAGCGATTTATGAACGGCATGAAAAAGAAAACCACAGAAGTTCCTATTCCTAAAGTTGCAGGCTGGTGTACTTGGAATATTATGCTATGTCCCTGGTGGAAACCATTTAGACCAGCCTTCAGAAACCGTGTATACTTCAACCTGCACCAAATCTCAATCACGAAGACCAAGAGTCCATAATTTATGGACTCTTGGTATGACTTAGGCCCATGGGCTTGTACGATGAAGCTCAAACACAGGTAATAACGTTATGTATAGTGGTGGAGACAAAGAGTTAGTATTATAGACTTATAGAGCACGAGAGCACGTCTAGCCCGGAAGCAAAACGGGCCTTTTTTAGGACTCTACGCAATCCATAGTGAAATTTAATGGGATCTGGAAGCCTGGAATGCGGATAGTATGGACGCTGGAACGAAGTGTTTTGAGGTGTGGAAAAATGGTTCAGTCCGACTGGTCTTAGGCGAGATGCGAAAGCTAAATAAAGCGTAGTTTCCAATAAGATAATGGTTGCTATCGATTATACTGGCTTTCACACTGACAAACTATCCCGGGTAATGTGCGTGACGCCATATCGTACGCATCGTTTTTGGTGAGGTGACACGATGTCTCCATTGCAGTGATGTAGGCGACGCTCTCGTACATGGGAACGGGAGACTCATTGGAACCTTCCAACCTGATTTGTACACCCGCCTGGTTCAGTGCCTCACCCGCGACTGTTTCGCACGTGACGGCCCCCTCTGCCTGGTGGCGGCTGGGTTGCCGTTTGTTATCGCCAACCGACCCAGGACGCTTCGTTGAAAATCTGCATCTCCAAAGCAACAAAGCAACAACAGATGTAACCAGAGCGGCCGAAGCAGACGCTGAAATGCCAATGATAGCCGCCTGGCCAAGAACTGAAGGATGCTCTTCAGGGTCCACTGCGGAGCGAGGGGAGGTTGAACTTGTAGGGAAATTTTCAATTGCTGCGGTGGTCAAGGAGCCCATATTCAGCTTCTCCGTACCGCTAGGGAACTTTCGACGTGTACCTGGGCACAAGGTAATCACAGCATCGATCGACAGATGAGATCAGGTCAAGGTCGTTGACGATTTCCGGATCTTCAACACGAAAATGCATCAGGCAAAGGTTTAAAATGGCAAAGTACAGTCCGTTATTTTCAGGTATGATTCAATGCTTGCAAAAGTTTGCTTTATACCTTGAACCGTATACTGTTTGAGTGCGTCTAATAACTTTACGAAGTAGTGGTTGCGACTTCCGCGATGATTTGTAAGAAAGGGTTTGCTCCCCACACCGGAGCTCGCGCTATTCCGCCGACTTTACTTGACACTTGACTGACTCACGACTGCCATCCAGAGCACACGAGAAGTCCATCGAACCTTCGACTCGGCAAACCTGCAAGAAAGCACCACTCCCTGCTCAATACACAGTGTTTCGGGGAATTCACCCCTCATCAGTTGAGCTTGAGTCGAAACACTGTGTATTGAGCAAGGAGTGGTGCTTTCTTGCAGGTTTGCCGAGTCGAAGGTTCGATGGACTTCTCGTGTGCTCTGGATGGCAGTCGTGAGTCAGTCAAGTGTCAAGTAAAGTCGGCGGAATAGCGCGAGCTCCGGTGTGGGGAGCAAACCTTTCTTACAAATCATCGCCGAAGTCGCAACCACTACTTCAGAGTTCAGGAAGACAAAGGAATTCAATAGATTCTTTTTTGGAGGGAAACAAATCAGCACACGAAGCACAGAAGCCGTAATTATTGTTTCGGATGTATGGACATATTTTCTGCGGTGTTATCGGTAATCACCATTGTACATGTATTCGACTTGAAAAGTAATGGTACGGAAGGGCTTAGGCCCAATCGAAACAAAAGGATCCAGCTTCACATTGGTGAAGCGTAGTCAACATTCTAGCAGGCACTTAGTGCCTATAAAACAGGCAAGAAACATACCAAGCAGGTACCAAATTCTGCCAATTGTTTTAAGTTATCCGCCAAGGGCTATTGACCAGCTCTGTCCTCGCCCCTGTGCTATACTTTGCTTCCATGGTCACCATCCTAGCTGACAACCATTTCAGCTAGGGACCGGCGGATTCTGCTCGAAAAGGTGGCAGATTCTGCTCGAAAAGCAGTGAAATTCGCAGAACCATACAAACCTTATGGCGGGCAATTCCTCGAATTCTGCTCCATTTCTTTATCCACATACCAAACATGCATGAAACATACCAGCAAAAGTACCGAATTGTGCCAATTTTTCTGCCGGCAGAATCCTAGCTGACAACCATGTCAGCTAGGATTACAGAAAAAGAAGACTCACCCTGGCATGATCTGCCATTGACTTCGAACCCAGCAGCGGACTTTTTATTTTTTTTAATTTTTTTTTATATTTTAACTAAGGCCACAGCTTCCAATCATGACATGCAAAGCAGCGTTGCAGCATCGCAGGCATGAATCGTGGACGTGGTGACGGGGTCTGACTCCGACATCGATAATGTGTCTAACGGCAGCGTGGTGTGTGAACACGGATGGATCATATCGATGTCTGTGCGCTGCTGGGTTCGATGTCAAAGGCAGATCATGCCAGGGTGAGTCCTCTCTTTCAGTAATTTGGAAAATGGGATACTTCCAGCCAATGAAGCTCAGGGTGGAAAGGATGAGTCAAGTACATGTACAATTAAATATCGTGCCAAGAGCAGACCACACCCTAGCGTATGTATGGCTATGCACAGCTTGCAGGCATCTCACCGGTATAGTACGAGTCACAGTATATTCCAGTGTAACCAGGGAGGCAGTCGCATGCGTACAGACCAGGTGTGTTGACACAGTATCCTCCAGGAGCACATCGATGTGTACCACGCGAACATTCATCCACGTCTGTACGGGAGTTGTCATTGGAAGAAAAAAACAAAGTTATACATCCTGCATGCATATCATGTTCAAACTGCCTTTCCTGTAACAATAGGAACGCGTGTTCAACGTAGCACGTGAAGCAATGGCAAGTATTCAAGATGTACTTGATTCAACTTTTCCACCTAGGCTTCATTTGATGGAGTGAAGAAGTATCCAACTTTCCAAATTACAGAAAAAGACTCGACTCACCCTGGCATGATCTGCTGTTGACCTCGAACCCAGCAGCGCACATACATCGATATGATCCATCCGTGTTCGCGCACACCACACTACCGTTGGACAAACCGTCCGCGTTGCACACATCCGGCACGTGTCTGCATTCATCTTCGTCTGACAACACCACAGCCATACAATCCAAGTACACATGACTTGTATCTATTATTCCACAGTACGGTGAGGTGCCGAAGATTAACCATGCTGGAATTTTGAAAACACATTGAACTGGAACTTGACTGTGACCAAAAGTTTTCTTTGCCTCATCTTGTAGTCTTTAACTCAATGCCATACAGTCTAAGCAAGGGTACTCATTGCACAGGACTGCCGGGTGCCGAAGAAGAGCCAGGCTGGAATTATAAAAGCACCTTTTAAATTGAGGTTGTAAGATAAGGGTCGCACTCAGGCGCGTGCAGGTGGACAACGTTCGTCCTCGGGAGGATTGGATTTTAGCTTTATGTACCAGTGTAAAAAGCATCATCCTTCGTCATTTTGTGAGAGCTCGGACAATCCACTTGTTCAGGCAAGAAGGCGGCAGCAATGCCGGTTCATTCTGGTGAAGTAAAATAAAACAATTTACCAACCCCAACCACTTGAGTATAGCGAAAAGAAATGAGTTGTTTGAGGTGGAGTGATTACCTTGGCATATTCCATGGTCTCGGGTATAGCCTCTCTTACAGGTACACTCGTATGATCCAAACATGTTCTTGCAGTACTGTGTCTGTGTGTGACTACCGCCGCTGGCTGTTGAGTAACCATGGTAACATGGAGGATTGTACGTATCACTGCACTCATTCCAATCTGTAAGGACAACATTATCAGCAGAATACAATGTGCTCTTCTGCGATAATGTGTACATTGTTCGCATTGCATTACATTGCCGTCCTTTTGACCGTCAACATAAGTTAATTATTCGACGTCCTGACACCTAGCTTCAACACATCTCCGTAGCGCTAACCAACAGCCTTCCAACTCGGACGCAACTCGAATGTCTCAGTACCCTGTCAGTTTTGTGCCTAGTTGCTGCACTTTCTGACTGTATAATAGTATCTGGTTACAGTGATGGTAAATTATTAATTATGTTGGCACCATGATCTCCTTCAAGCCGTCGGTGCCCAGGTGGGACAATGATGTAAGGCTAAGCACGGTAAATGGCCTACGTCCGTGAATCATAGTTTTACACTCAGGATTCTATTCTTTGTCGTTCTTTTTCACTATGTTGGAGAAAAGAAGGTGAAGTGTCTCCCATTTTCGTTCACATAGTGAATTTCGTACTTTTTCACTAAAGTTCACGTTCCCAACTTTAAAAAATGATAAAAATGGACCAGGCGAGTGAATGTTTTACATACATGAGACTGACGGTGCAGACTTTCCATCTCACCTTCAGCTGACAAGGAAACATATGGCTGACCAGCAGCATTGACCAGGATAAAGCAGGGGTGAACGCCGCCAGTATGCAATCGTTGCATGGCACTAAACGTGACGGTACTTCCAGATACATCTGACATGGCTACGAACTTCAATACCTTCTGACCGTTGGGATCTGCATCGCTGTTCACTGAGAACGGAATATTCTGGCTGTTGCTTCTGCCGCTTGACTGCACAGAGGAATACAGCACTTGGTAGAAGCATGATCCGTTCGATGTGAAGCTGATGCTGTCAAACGTCATAAGACAACCAGGCGGGAAGTCAAAGTCTACGCTGGAACCGGTAGCATTCGCACTGATGACGTCCCGTGGCGAAGACTGCCTCGTCCCGGAGGAGAACACATATCGGCTTGTCTGAGTTCTCCGATCAAAGCTGGTGGTAAAGTTAGTGTAACCGGCGGACAGACATCTATTTCCACTGGTGTGTTGCATACATCCGATGGCCAATATCAAGCCAATGTATATTGCCGTTTGTACATGCAGTTTGGCTGTGAACATCTTCATTGCTGCAACGTAAACACGAAGGCAGGCCAATTTTGCGCAGAAGGGCACTAGCCTTCAGAACATGATGTAGGATGTTGAACCAACTCAGTGTTTACAAGTTTTCTTATCCTTTTCTGAGCCTAAATGTTGCATTGTCGTGGACTGGCCTTACCTCACAAGGGCTTCACAACTGCAGTGTGTGCCTAGCTCACATGATGGAACACATAGGCAAATTAATAATGTAAGCAAACTAACACGTCAGCCACCCTGTTCTCCGTCGGAGCGTGCACTAGTGGGCAGCAGACTCGCAAAGGGAAGAATTGAGGCACGGTGGTGGCCCACAGTCATTCAACTACTGAACTAGTACAGTCATGTAGACGCCATCTACTAGCCTTCTAGAAGATTTTCCAGCCTGGAACTCGGAGTGATGAAGCCTAGCAAGTCGTAACAAACGGTATAGGATGCACATAACATGTAGCCGTACTAGACTCGCGTGGTCTACTATTATTACATGGATGTAGCTGCATAGGTCTGTTGCAGTGTTGGGTGTGTCTGTCGGAAGTAGACTACGTTCACATGTATTAAACGTTAGCCTCTTCGTCTGCTAAGCAAATGTGCCACGCAACTGTCCAGCCCTTCTGAGCACACAAGTAAGTTAGTTGTAGACGGTTTGCGTTACACAGAGCGTCTCGGATCACAACTCAAATCTCGCATATCTCCGGGCAGGTTAGACTCTCAAATGACCGATACGCTGGGCAGCCACGGTCTCACTGCAGCATTGGAGGCTGACTACTGATACTAATCAGCGTGTGCGCATGGGCCCGTTCTAATGTATAGGTAGAATATAATAATATTATTATTGTAGTGGTCATGTAGTGTACATGTACAGAGAGAAGATTGTGCCACAATCATGCCCACTGGCACAGTGGCAATGTATAGGCCCCAGCGGCAAATGCTAGCACCCAAAGTAGCATAAAAGGGCCTTTTTGTGACTCCACACGATGCTAGCATAAACAGCAGTTTTTACCGGCATCCGATACATTTTAGCCAATTTTGGCATTCTGGATGTGGAATTCGGTCTAGATTACACTATGAAACTAGTATTACGGTACTACCACATTGATAATTGCATGCACTACATTCAATTTGTTTGCATTACCTAGTTGTGACCAAGACCCACATTGCCATTGGTACTTCTTGGTATTTGCTCTTTTGTATTGCAAATATTTCCATAGCAACATGATGCCTTTTCTGGGGTCTGATGAGCGTCGACTTTGGCACCTTAACCGAGCGTTCGGTTCATCCCGCATCGCCAGTTCTGCTTACCAAAAATGGAAATCCCTAACAAAATAATAAGAAGAAAAAACGACTACACCATAGCTCAGTGGTTAGAGCATCGCTGGCTACAAGCGAGGGTCCCTGGTTCGTGTCCTGGTGGTGACAGTCAATTTTTTCTTCAGACTTTTCCCGTTTGTCTCTTTCCCTCAAAACCAGTTAAAATAATAATAATGCCAACATCGCACCTTTAAAAACTCTTTTTACATACCTGCTTTGTGAGAATTCATAAATAGCACGGAACACCGTTTTCAACCCAAATGTTTCACCATTACCATTAATAGGTAGCATAATTCGTGTTGTCTAGCATCCAAACTAGCATCTTTCTGAGTTGTCAGCTAGCATCCCAAAAAGCATCTTGGCAACATTAAGCTAGCATCTGCCGCTGGGGCCTAGCAATGTATCTTGCCAATGTCAAACTGCATTATATCCTTGCTTGTAACTAGGGAGTAGTAAAATACATACTTGTATCAAATATTTACTCTGTACATGTACTAGGGAACAAAACCCGAGTGAGTACACCCCCCCCCCCCCCCTCTAAAATGTTGACCTACGTTCAGAATGCACGTTATGAGTCCACCATGAATGACATGCACCAGCCATCCTACACATGCATTGTATACGGCTGTGCACCCCTCCAGAAGGGGGACCAGCCACATGCACATCCCTGAGCAGTATCTAGACCACCCGACTGGGCCTTCCGACTTCATTGGCGACTTCTTGTGAACAGTTAGCCAAGCAAGGAAACAACGGGAAATTGACCGAAACCAGGAGTCAGAATTCGAAGCGATTTATGAACGGCATGAAAAAGAAAACCACAGAAGTTCCTATTCCTAAAGTTGCAGGCTGGTATAAATTTATTGGAATATTATGCTATGTCCCTGGTGGAAACCATTTAGACCAGCCTTCAGCAACCGTGTATACTTCAACCTGCACCAAATCTCAATCACGTAGACCAAGAGTCCATAATTTATGGACTCTTGGTATGACTTATAGGCCCATGGGCTTGTACGATGAAGCTCAAACACAGGCAATATGTATAGTGGTGGAGACAAAGAGTTAGTATTATAGATTTATAGAACACGAGAGCACGCCTAGCCGGGAAGCAAAACGGGCCTTTTTTAGGACTCTACGCAATCCATAGTGAAATTAAATGGGATCTGGAAGCCTGTAATGCGGATAGTATGGACGCTGGAACGAAGTGTTTTGAGGTGTGGAAAAATAGTTCAGTCCGACTGGTCTTAGGGCGAGATGCGAAAGCTAAATAAAGCGTAGTTTCCAATGAGATAATGGTTGCTATCGATTATACTGGCTTTTACACTGACAAACTATCCCGGGTAATGTGCGTGACGCCATATCGTACCCATCGTTTTTGGTGAGGTGACACGATGTCTCCATTGCAGTGATGTAGGCGACGCTCTCGTACATGGGAATGGGAGACTCATTGGAACCTTCCAACCTGATTTGTACACCCGCCTGGTTCAGTGCCTCACCCGCGACTGTTTCGCACGTGACGGCCCCCTCTGCCTGGTGGCGGCTGGGTTGCCGTTTGTTATCGCCAATCGACCCAGGACGCTTCGTTGAAAGTCTGCATCTCCAAAGCAACAAAGCAACAACAGATGTAACCAGAGCGGCTGAAGCAGACGCTGAAATGCCAATGATAGCCGCCTGGCCAAGAACTGAAGGATGCTCTTCAGGGTCCACTGCGGAGCGAGGCGAGGTTGAACTTGTAGGGAATTGTTCAATTGCTGCGGTGGTCAAGGAGCCCATATTCAGCTTCTCCGTACCGCTAGGGAACTTTCGACGTGTACCTGGGCACAAGGTAATCACAGCATCGATCGACAGATGAGATCAGGTCAAGGTCGTTGACGATTTCAGGATCTTCAACACGAAAATGCATCAGGCAAAGGTTTAAAATGGCAAAGTACAGTCCGTTATTTTCAGGTATGATTCAATGCTTGCAAAAGTTTGCTTTATACCTTGAACCGTATACTGTTTGAGTGCGTCTAATAACTTTACGAAGTAGTGGTTGCGACTTCGGCCATGATTTGTAAGAAAGGGTTTGCTCCCCACACCGGAGCTCGCGCTATTCCGCCGACTTTACTTGACACTTGACTGACTCACGACTGCCATCCAGAGCACACAAGAAGTCCATCGAACCTTCGACTCGGCAAACCTGCAAGAAAGCACCACTCCCTGCTCAATACACAGTGTTTCGGGGAATTCACCCCTCATCAGTTGAGCTTGAGTCGAAACACTGTGTATTGAGCAAGGAGTGGTGCTTTCTTGCAGGTTTGCCGAGTCGAAGGTTCGATGGACTTCTCGTGTGCTCTGGATGGCAGTCGTGAGTCAGTCAAGTGTCAAGTAAAGTCGGCAGAATAGCGCGAGCTCCGGTGTGGGGAGCAAACCCTTTCTAATAACTTTATTAGGATGACCCAAAGGCAAATCGCCTACCGAGGGGTTCACCGCGTTGAATGGTTGTGGTTTCACAAAGCAAAGAGGCAACCATTGTGTGTGTGTGGGGGGGGGGGGGGGGGAGGGAGTTTCGAACTATGCACAGTGAAGGGATACTTGTATGTACATGCCCGAGGATAGGGTATACCGGACAAAGTTGCCATTTTTGTCTGATGATTATTGCTTCTCTCTACTGTGTCATGCAAGGAATCTTCATCTACTCCCGGTCATCCGAACGTTGCCCGATGCCAGTCCAATGGCGGTAGCCACGGGCAAATATCCCCACCACATTGTGTGTGCTTCAAAACCCTATTTTTGGCCACGGTTAGACTAGTGTTTCTAAGGGTGATGGTAGTACGACTCTACTGTACCCACTTCATCCTGCTCACAAAATCCAATGCCACCACTCAGAATCGGGTCATCGCAAACCCTACTTGTACAATATAATTCGATATTGTTAAGGTTTTGGATGTACAGCTCTGCACGATAGGATAATTTGTGCGGATTAAATCAGGTTTTGGAAAATGCACCACACATGAACTGGGCCATCTAAACGGATTGGACGAGATGCGAACGAAACAGCACGAGTATACAACTAGTCCTCTCTCAAGACTCATACCGGTATATGCCCGGGAAATTTCACAAATAGATCAGCAATGCGCTAACCCCCTGTACAATGTTGTATCCACCATTCTAGTAGAATGCACTGTCCAAGAGCAGACCACACCCTAGCACACGTATGGCCATGTACAGCTTGCAGGCACCTCACCCTAGCACACGTATGGCCATGTACAGCTTGCAGGCACCTCACCCTAGCACACGTATGGCCATGTACAGCTTGCAGGCACCTCACCCTAGCACACGTATGGCCATGTACAGCTTGCAGGCACCTCACCTGAATCACAGAATATTCCAGTATAGCCAGTGGGGCAGTTGCACCCGTACAGTCCGGGTACATTGACACAGTATCCTCCAGGAGCACATCGATGTGTACCACGTGAACATTCATCCACGTCTGTACGAGAGTTGTAATTAGAAGCAAAAACAAAGTAGGTAATGTGTTAGTTATACACCCTGCATGCATAACATGTTCAAACTACCTTTCCTGTAACATTAGGAATGCACCTTCAACATACCACGTGAAGCAATGGCAAGTATACAAGATGTGCTTGATAGAGTGAAGAAGTATCCAGTTTTCTAAATTTACAGAAAAAGAGGACTCAGTAGGCACCGGCGGATTATGCCGGCAGAAAAATTGGCAGAATTCCGTACTTTTCTGGTAAGTTTCATGCATGTTTGGTATGTGGATAAAGAAATGGAGCAGAATTCGACGAACTGCTCGCCATAAGGTTTGTATGGTTCTGCCAATTTCACTGCTTTTCGAGCAGAATCTGCCACCTTTTCGAGCATAATCCGCCGGTCCCCAAGACTCACCGTTGCATGATCTGCCGTTGACCTCGAACCCAGCAGCGCACCGACATCGATACGATCCATCCGTGTTCGCACACATCACACTACCGTTGGACAAACCGTCCGCGTTGCACACATCCGGCACGTGTCTGCATTCATCTTCGTCTGACAACATCACGGTACGCATACAGTCCAAGCATACATGTATATATTATTATTCCACAGTACGGTCCGTGAGGTGCCGAAGATTGACCATGCTGGAATTTTGAAAACACATTGAACTGGAACTTGACTGTGACCAAAAGTTTTCTTTGCCTCATCTTGTAGTCTTTAACTCAATGCCATACAGTCTAAGCAAGGATACTCATTGCACAGGACTGCCGGGTGCCGAAGAAGAGCCAGGCTGGAATAAAAAAAAAAAAAGGAACATGCAAGATGAGGGCGACACTAGCGCTTGATGGTGGGCTACGTTCGTCCTTGGGAGGATTGGGGTTTAGCTTTAAGGACCAGTGTAAAAAGCATCATTCTTCGTCATATGGTGAGAGTTGAACAATTCATTTGTCCAGGCAAGAAGGCAGCAACGCTTGTACATTCTGGCGAAGTGAGTACGGCATATGTTATCGCATGGTTGCTGCGGGCCTTATGGCAATAATATGCCATAAGGCCCGCAGCAAGCATGCGATAACAAATTTATCACATGGCCCACAGAGCAGACCATTGGGCTGCTGTTGAAACTAGCCCAAATGCCAACACATTATGACCACAATGTATATTGATGTGCTATCATTATCAAAACAGGAAAAATGAAGATATTTCTCCTACACCCAAACAAAAAGTCTGCTACAGGCCATCAGAGAGTATACAGTACTGAAAGACGGCGACAGAAAAAAGTGCCGGCGCGGCATCGTCATAGCAATAGAAATGGCAACCACAATAGAACACAGCAGAATCATAATTTCAGTTGAAAAATTACCACTTGAAGAGTGTTACCACAAAGAGTCTCTTCATGTTTACATGTGTATCAGGAAGTTGTCAAATACAGACCTGCAAGTATTTGACGACTCCCTGGCGTGTAATTCTGAGGACAATTTTTCTTCTTTCTTCAGCTCCAGATAGCTGTATTTTTCATTGCAAAACATTCCTGAATTGTTGTGTTCGTTGTTCAAGCAAAGGTGAAGGCAGAGGACAGATGAGCCGGGTAAAAGTTCTGGGTGGCACATGAAGACCACACACAAGCAGTGACTTTGCGAGGATCTGAAACGCACGATGCTGAGTTGAATTATTATTTTGTGTTATTTCAAATAATTGTTTGTGATCACAGTACCACATCGAGCAGAACTGAATCTTACCCACAAGCTTACCGACGGTCAGGCTGCCAACATGACGGAACAAATGATCCCTGCAAGCACCACACGGCAGACGTCCGAGGCCATGTCCATTGCCGGGACGTCCATCTCCAAAAAGAATTCCATCTTCGTCTCAATGCTACACTGCGACTCGTCGTAGAGTCGTACAGTCTACAGAGTCGTCGTATACGCGTAATCTAGTCACGCGATCACTGAAATAAACTATTTTTTTGGGGGCAAATAAACTATTTTTTGCGGGCAATATCGCATATTATTGCCCGCGGCGCGAAAGGTGCTGATTCGCTGGAGTACGGGCAACAATCGCGTGTCATGTGATAAAATAGAATACAATGTATACCAACCCCAACCACTTGAGTATAGCGAAAAGAAATGAGTTGTTTGACGTGGAGTGATTACCTTGGCATATTCCATGGGCACGGTTATAGCCTCTCTTACAGGTACACTCGTATGATCCAAACACGTTCTTGCACTGCTGGGTGTGACCATCGCCGCTGGCTGTTGAGTGACATGGAGGATTATACGCATCGCTGCACTCATTCCAGTCTGTAAGGACAATGGAATAGCAGAGTACATAATATTATGCTCTTCAGTCTGCGATAGTGTGTACATGTTTTGCCATTGCATTTTGTTAGGCCTTAGCATTGCCGTCCTTTTGACACAAAATAATGTTGGTATTGTGAGCCCTTTGAGCCGTCGGTGCCCAGGCCACATAATGGCACAACATGGTAATACTAGAAACGGTGAACCATTTACTACAGTGTACAACTACAAGCTAACTAAAAGTGCCTGTTAAATATTCACACTGAGCCATGATCACAAGGAGGACATTTTCCTTAATCCAGCGGGGAGGGCTTAAGGTAGCAGGCTGGTCCTAAATTTCATATGGCATTCAATTGACTGTAACTTTGGTGTCTCTCGATGGATTTGAGTGAAATTTGCACCACACACTCCTGCCACTATGCTGGCCCTCTTGACATAATTTAAAAGTTCTTGCGCCTCACTGACAGGCTTTACAGGCCGGAAAAACTCAAAATTCCGGCATAGTGCCACGGTTGGCGAGCCACCCAGGAGCCAAACAAACACATTTACAATTTTTTCACATTTTCTAGCCAATTCTGTCCGTGCGCAGGATCCAAACCTAAAACAACGCCCAGAAGCAGCCATGGGTGGTGGGATAGGGCCCTTCAACGTGGCCCTGGAATCTGTCACAACGGCAGGAGTTCTGTCACAGACTCCCACAGACCCAAGTCAATTTTTGATTTTTTTTAGGTTCAGGGCGTGCTACGAGGTCGCACCTTTGATACAACATCCAGTTCTGGGACCTCAACAGCAAGCCATTTCCACAGCGCTTCAAACCGAATCCAGGATACCCTCCAAAATCGGCAAAGACTACCACTCACGTTCCACTACTGCCTAGTACTGAATCCTACCTGACTTCTTGACACGACTCAAACTTGCCAAAGTCACTAAATCAACGTCAACTACAATAATCAAGCCACATATCTGCAACGTCACGAGGGTGGTGGCAAAAGTCCTGCTGCACGGCGGCGGGCTTTGCCCGCCGCCGTGCAGCCCAATACGTGGTTTTTTAATGTGATTTTTGGGACTTTTTTGGACTTGGAGCAAAATTGTGCACACGTTCGCGTGTTTCCATGATACGACAACTTGCGCACGGTCTGCTCACATTCACATACAGTGCCGCCAACAAATGACAGCGTGCAACAAAAAAATCTTTCCCTGCAAGGGCACATTTTCGGCCATAACTCTTGAACGGCTGGTCAGATCGAGACAAAATTTCAGAGATTTTGCAGCTACTCATGCTCTTTCAACTGATGTAGTACTCGATATGAATTTACAAATTCGATTTTTCAGTGATTTTACGACCAGGCTGCCACCTTAACAATGATGCGCCTGATCATTGTACACTCGGACGTCTCTTATCCGGGGCACCTTGGGACCGGGCACTGCCCGTATCTCAGATTTGCCCGCATCTCAGGATAACTCATCTACGTAATTACATAGGCTGGCAGTGAAAAATAAGCACTTCCACATACAGGGAGAACGTAAAAGAAACCAAATTCGAAGCATTTGTACTATAGGAAGTCAAGCTGAAGGTGCCCGGCAGAGAGATGTGCCCGTATCTGAGGCGTCCGGATAAGAGGCGTTTGAGTGTATTGTGCAAGAAACTCTGAGTTGCAACGAACTCTGTAAACTTCCTTTGAGCCTGGCCATGTGCATACTCGCAATACTACATAGGTTGCTATGGTACTGTAGACACACGCACGCGGCACACTAGAGCCAGAGCGTCTGTCCCAGGGGAAAATCGCGATTCCGCGGCCGCGTTTTTGCGATTTTTGAAAAGACCGCGTTTTCCGCGATTTCCCGCGGTTTTTTTGAACTTTTTTTGCACTACACGTACACACAGTGCACTGTTCGGTCAGAAACGTCTCATCACGGCGGCTTTGTACTCAAATATGACGAGTGCTTACACCAGAGACTTGTAACTGATTGATTTCACTACATACTGAAAATTGCCTCATATCAACTGCAAACTTGCCGCATATGAATAATATTCACCGCATATTTACCGCAAATTCACCGAAAATTATGCCATATTTACCCGCAAATTCTGGGATTTTTTCCGCGATTTCCCCCGGGGACAGGAGGGTGCGTCGCGCCACCACTGCAGACTTTCCATCTCACCTTCCGCTGACAAGGAAACATATGGCTGACCAGCAGCATTGACCAGGATAATGCAGCGGGAGTGAACGCCGCCAGGATGCAATCGTTGCATGGCACTAAACGTGACGGTACTTCCAGATATATCTGATATGGCTACGAACTTCAATACCTTCTGACCGTTGGGATCTGCATCGCTGTTCACTGAGAACGGAATGTTCTGGCTGTTGCTTCTGTCGCTCGACTGCACAGAGGAATACAGCACTTGGTAGAAGCATGATCCGTTCGATGTGAAGCTGATGCTGTCAAACGTCATAAGACAACCAGGCGGGAAGTCAAAGTGTACGCTGGAACCGGTAGCATTTGCACTGATGTCCCGTGCACGTGGCGACGGCTGCCTCGTCCCGGAGGAGAACACATATCGGCTTGTCTGAGTTCTCCGATCAAAGCTGGTGATAAAGTTAGTGTGACCGACGGACAGACATCTATTTCCACTGCTGTGTTGCATACACAGGATGGCCAATATCAAGCCAATGTGTATTGCCGTTTGTACATGTAGTTTGATTGTCAACATCTTCATTGCTGCAACGTAAACACGAGCACAATCCGACCTTGCTGAAAGGCCGAACACCGCAATCTTCGGAATGTAAAGTCGAATGTTGAACTCACATCAGTCATTTACAGAACATTGATTTTCTTATCAGAAGATCCTGGTCCTACCCGGTAAGGGATTCAGTGCGTGCCTCGGATGATAGAGCACACCATCAAAATTAATACGACAGCAAACTACAACAACAAACACAATTGTAACGTGGCAGCCACCTTGCTCTCCATCGCGACACTAGGCGGACAGCGAACCCGCAAAGGGTTTATAGTAGGCCGGTGGAAACGCCGCAGTCTTTCTAGAGTCGATAGCCAGCTAGCGGGTGACTGTGCTGTGTGTGTGTGTGTGCAGCCTGGATCTCGGGGTGATGAAACGTCGTAACAACTCGTTTCCCACATCACGATTATACAGTCCGCACGACAAACCTGTACTCGGCCGCCATGCAGATCATCATCAGTTGCTGGTCGCCGCAATGTCGGAAGTATTCACCGAAACTTTAGCCCTTTCGTCTGCTAAGCAAATGTGCCACGGAACAGTCCATGAGCCAGGGCTGCTGAGCACTCGTGGAGGTACGGATTGAGAATGGTCTCCTATCAAATAGATCACAACGAGTCTCCAGTATCGGCAAGAGTACATAACCCCCCAGAGTGTGCAACTCCACTATGGGTGCTGTCCCGACAGAATTTCAAGTTGACGTCATTTTGATGAAGCAATGCGCACTGTACACGGATTATCAGACGAATCCGGAACCTGTGGTTGACCGAAGCTGATCGATCCTGTACAAATTATTGCAAAGAAAAACGTGTGATGCGTTGACACCCGTACACATGTTGTAAATCACTGGTGCAAGGAGCATTGCGTCATAAATAATGACGTCAACTTGAAATTCTGTCGGGACAGCAGGGTATGTGGGAGTTGCACACTCTGGGGGGTTATGTACTCTTGGTATCGGGTATATCCTGCCAGGTGAAACCCTCAATTAATACATTACCACTCAACAGCTTGCAAGGCTGATGCATTGACGCTTTCAGTACAATCAAGTAGACTGTGTATATACACCATGGTCCACACCCACCAACCGTGGACCACATACACAGATGCAGCCCCCCCCCCCCCCCCCCCCCCCAATGCACACACACACGGACTTCTACCGCGACAATGCCCGACGCACACAAAACACACGGCAGTGCGGGATGACAGTGGCCGGAGAGAACCCTGTTTCAAAGCTTTGTACATGAAACACACACACACACACACACACACACACACACACACACACACACACACACACACACACACACACACACACACACACACACACACACACACACACACACACACATTCACGACAAATAAAGAAAAACACAAGTGGGACCTACAAATTAAAATAGAGTCCACTGGGACTGGTAATAGCAAAACATGGTAGCATAGTAAAGCACTTGCACTTGCACTTGCACACACACACACACACACAGTCACACACACACCAACACACACACAGTCACACACAGTCACACACAGTCACACACAGTCACACACAGTCACACACAGTCACACACAGTCACACACACACACACACACACACACACACACACACACACACACACACACACACACACACACACACACACACACACACACACACACACACACACACACACACACACACACACACACACACACACACACACACACACACACACACACACACACACACACACACACACACACACACACACACACACACACACACACACACACACACACACACACACACACACACACACACACACACACACACACACACACACACACACACACACACACACACACACACACACACACACACACACACACCAACATACACACACACACACACACACAGTCACACACACAACCTATAAAAAAAAGAGTAACTATAGATTAAGAATGGTAAATGAAAAGATTGGTATCATAATAATAATGTTACTAGGATGTAGGCTGGTTACGAGGGGAGCTGAACAGCTGCCTGAGTTGTCTGGTTGGCCGGCTGGTGGCAAGTTATGCTGTCAAGATGAGTCTTATCAAGGGAAGGGGGGGGGGGGGGGTTAAAACAGTGAATGCGATGTCAAGACATTATGTCATTGCAGAGAGCTAACGCTGTACAGTGCAGCAAGGTCGCACCTATAAATACCGGTCCAGTTTTCTATTCATTTTTACTCAATCAACAGTTAGGTAGAAAAAAACTAGAAAAAAACTAAAAATGGAAATTTTCTAATAGCAAAACTAACAGCAAGAAGCGAATACACGCGCACACAGAGAAAGAGAGAGGGACGAGAGAGAGAGAGAGAGAGAGAGAGAGAGAGAGAGAGAGAGAGAGAGAGAGAGAGAGAGAGAGAGAGAGAAAGAGAAAGGGAGAAGAGAGAGAGAGAGAGAGAGAGAGAGAGAGAGAGAGAGAGAGAGAGAGAGAGAGAGAGAGAGAGAGAGAGGAAGAGAGAGAGAAGAGAGAGAGAGAGAAGAGAGAGAGAGAGAGAGAGAGAGAGAGAGAGAGAGAGAGACGCCATGCGCCTCAGCTGTGTCCGGTAGGCGATGCCGATCGCCTCGCCTCACAGTCACACGTCGATAGAAACTGCTCATCGCGCGATGTTGCAGAGGACGGTCTCCGTGCGAGCCATTTCCATTGCCAGTCTCACCAGGATGACTTGAACAAGCCAAGGAAGATTGCGACGGCAACCGCTGCTGTGTGCGTGGCTCCTTGTCAGGAATGTACGGCACCACAGGAGAGAAGACATAACCCTCCAGTTGCAGCTCGATGCGTAGCGAATCCTGGAAGACAGCACCAGGAGAAGAGTCACATGATATGAGAGTTCCAAATCCATGGCAAGCTACGCACGAGATTTCAATAAACGTCATGCAACATCATCATAGGGAAAGCGTTTGCTCCCCATCCGTACACCTTGTTGCTACTATGCCGCCAACATCACCATGGACAAAAACTGGCTGGTTCCTGATTTCTGATGAATACATGGGCTCTCTGATCAGCGCGGAGGGGGGGGGGGGGGGGGGTACACATGTATATTCAGCCCATGGATCTGGTAAATCAGCTCACTTCAAGTAGTGGAAATTCATCGCGAATGACATTCGTACAGGTACAAAGATTGGTAAAAGAAAGAAAGAGATAGATAGAGAGAGAGAGAGTGTGTGTGTGTGTGTGTGCGAGAGAGAGAGAGAGAGAGAGAGAGAGAGAGAGAGAGAGAGAGAGAGAGAGAGAGAGAGAGAGAGAGAGAGAGGAGAGAGAGAGAGAGACAGCCACCATGCACAGTCCTTACCATGCTCTCTTGGCTAGGGCACAGGCCGAACACGGCACCACCACTACCAGGGAACTTCACCGCAGAGCCATGCTGCAAACACAAGCACAAGAAACACAAGACATGACACCAGCAATACACAACACTTAGCAGGCACAACCCCAGTACTGGCAACAGCAGCATCAGCAGCACCAGCAGCAGTATCAGTATCAGTACCAGCATCGGCAGCAAAAATAGCAGAAGTAACAGCATCAGCACCAACATCATCGGTGCAAGCATCAGTGGCAGCATCGTTAGCAAAACTAGAAGAAGCAGCCTGAGCAGCAGCAGCAGCAGCAGTAACAACAACAGCAGAAGCAGCAGCAGCAGTAACAGCAGCAGCAGCAGCATTAGAATTAGCAGGGGGAAATACATGTATACCGGCATCAAAATTTCTCAAACAGGACAAGTAGCTGCACTCACCCGTTTAGCAATCTCTATCATGTGTAGATTGGCAGTGCCCAGGGCTGCATCACCGTAGACCTTGCGACGCAGTGAGAAGTTCTTGTCCATTATCTTAGCAACCCTAAGAGCAGCAAACACAACAACAACAAGAAGAGAGTTTCGAGGCCAGCGAGACCAGAAGTACCAGCAGTACCAACAGTACCTGCAGTACAGTCAGACCTCGCATAACCGCACACATCCGTTTTCCACAAAAATATCCGGATAGGCGAGTAAACCGGATAACCGAACACACGTTGTATGTATGAATGCCATATGCTGTAAGTCGGTAACCAACGATTTTCTTCCGAATGGCGAGGAATTCGGATAAAAGAGGACGGGATAAGCGGCGAGGTCTGACTGTACTAGTAGCCAAGGCAGTACTGTAAGTCTACAAATTTCAGCCTCCCAGGGCTAAAACCCATTTCAGCCTCCCAGGGCTAAAACCCATTTCAGCCTCCCAGGGCTAAAACCCATTTCAGCCTCCCAGGGCTAAAACCCATTTCAGCCTCCCAGGGATAAAACCCATTTCAGCCTCCCAGGGCTAAAACCCATTTCGGCCTCCCAGGGCTAAAACCCATTTCGGCCTCCCAGGGATAAAACCCATTTCAGCCTCCCAGGGCTAAAACCCATTTCAGCCTCCCAGGGCTAAAACCCATTTCGGCCTCCCAGGGCTAAAACCCATTTCGGCCTCCCAGGGCTAAAACCCATTTCGGCCTCCCAGGGCTAAAACCCATTTCAGCCTCCCAGGGTTAAAACCCATTTCAGCCTCCCAGGGCTAAAACTAGGGGTCAAACGGGTGTACCTTTAACTAACGAACGGGTAATTTTCTTAACGGGCGGGTTAACGGGTACCCTTTAGCAGCCATATTATTTTTTTGCGCATTTCTCACATAAATCATGATTTTAATTTGTATATTCTCAGGTTGTATTTTGATACTACATTATGATTCGCAATTGATTCGTGTATCATAATATTATTATGGCAATGAAGGTTCCAAATGAATGTCATCCGTGCATTTGCCCATGTACATAACTTCACAGGCAGTAACTTACAATCGTACATGTAGATGGTCCTACAAGCTACATGTATTTTGATACACTACGCAAATCAACTGCAGATCGATGTGATTCAAGCCATGCAAGGACAGAGTGGTTTAGCAAAACTTCCGTGATCTCGCGCAATCCTATTTGCTATGTTCGCAGAGAACTGGTACTCGTTGCATTCAGAAGATGTTCGCACCCATAGCTAGCTGGGGTGCCTGACACAGCTGATGTGCTGCTGGCCAGCTAGCTGCTAGTGCTAGCTTGTTGAACTCGTGAAATGAATCTTCACAAATCCGTAATCTTGTATGCAATATTTCGAACTACTTTTCCAGCTAGTCGATTGAAGGAACAAACTACAACCATGAGTATCATACATGTAGCTACCACCTACGGACATCACCGTTTGTGACACTCCGACTGGTCACTCAGCCTGGTGACACTAGTTCATCAAGTACCGTGGCAGGTTCGATGTCGGAGAACCATCGTAACTTTCTAGTTACTCAGCTGCCACCTCGAACGAGTTTCAAGTCTTGCATTTTCTCACATCACAATCAAAAACCTCCAGTACGAGGATTTTTACTTGCACTCGAGTGGAGAGAACAACTGTCAAGTCTGTCTTTCAGCCTGCTCCTGCCTGATAAAGTCGAAAGCG